CTGAGGCAATCCAGCCACAGACCACTAAGGCAGGTAACCAAGCCAATGGATGAAATGGACCTCAGAAATAAATGAATTTATCATCCATACTTACTTCATCATAAAACTCAAAACAGACATGAAAGCATACAGACAACAGTTACATAAACCACAGATAAAACAATTCATCATGATAGACTTGACATTACTCTCATTGACAAAAGCAGTAAAATTGCTTATATAATAGGCATCTCTGCTCCAAATACTCATAACATAAAAATACTCACACTGAAAAAATTAACAAGTACACTCCACTCACTCAAGATAAGACAATTTGGAGGATGGATAAGGTATTTATTGTACCTGTTATCCTCTCTTCCACTGGTGTTATTCCATGTACTCTACACAAAAGTCTAGAAACATTAAACCTTAATAAAAATGCATACATGGCTCTACAGAAAGCTACAATATTGAACACGTCACATTGTTAGAAGTTTCTAGATGTTGACACATGTACCAATTGTAGCTATACATATACTAATATGTTACATATTCTTAATGTAACACTTGTTTAGGTAGCTATGCCTTAACTTTAAACCTATATAGCACTTGGAACAAATATCAGCTGAGTTTGATATTTGCATAATATTAATAATAATAATGAAAAGAACATTAAGAAATTGTGGAAATTCTTTTGTGAAACAATCTATTTACAACTAATATATATAATATATTATGCCAAGACATAATTAAAACATGTTGTACAATATTTTCTCTCAAGTATTCTAATGCAAGACATGTTTAGGTTTTAATCTACATTAAAAATTAACAGATATACCAATCTAATTCAATATGGTAATTATATTAAATTTAAGCTTACAAATAATACTTCAAAAGCTCTGAAGTAACATTAGAATATTCTAAAATAATTTTTTAAAATTATTTAACTGTTAGGCTTCATAGTATAAAGCATAGTTATATAGATTAAATGTAAATAATAATAAATTCAGCTAAGATTATCTAAGATTATAGAAAACACTTATGATTATTTGTATTTATTATATCTTTATTATAAATAATTAATATAATTACTATAAAAAATCAGCAAGCATATAACTCCATAATTAACAGAACAACATTAAAATAAATGAAAATTAAAAAATAAAATTTATTACTATAAATAAAAATAAAAATTAAAGTTTATAAATAAACTTATGTACACTATTCTCTGTCACAAAACAGTTTATTACAATATATTTTAGAACAGCAGTGGTTAATCCAAATCAATCCAAGGCCAACTTGAAACCTGAAAAAGTTTGAGGCCATATGAAAGAAACTTATGTACTTTTACATGTAACTTATGTATTATTTAATTACTTTATATAAATACTCAAATCCTTGAAAAATGAGAAGTTATTGAGTTAACAATATACTGTATATTCACCTATCCATAGAAATAAGAAATGTAGCATCTATAATTTTTAAATATTTCTTAAATAGACAATATGAGTAAAAAATTTATTGATCAGATTTAAATTATCTATCAAAAATGTTAAATACAATCTATATAGACTGTTTCAATGTGTAGTTAATTTCAATCAAGAAACCAATTTTAATGTAGTTTTAACTTACAAATCTTATTATTCATTAATTAATTATTTCCAAAAGGCATTTATACAACAATATATTTTTTTTTTATTACAAAAATCTGCATGTCATAACTGATATAAATTGACTAATCCAAATAACTGATTAATACAAATTTATTAATTACAATTGAACAAGAAAACCAGAAACCATGTAACTCTATATTGTTATAAATTGTATATTACAATTATTTCCAAATATTCAGTGTGCTGTATAATAGCAGTTTCCAATCTTTTCCAGTCCATCTACTCATTTCAGGAACTCAAAGATCATAACATTAATTTATTTACTTTGGACACATTCATTCCTAGTCTGCCACAATTATTAAGTCACTGTTGCAAATAAAATTTTTGAACAATTTCTCCATTATCATTAAATTGAAAACTAAAGATTAAAAATCAAAGTGCTAAGGCACTTATTTTAAATAATATAAATATGAGACTAATTGATATAAAACAATTAAATTAAAAATCTGAACCCAAACTTTCAGAAATGTATAAAACATTGTAAAGCCTATAAAAAAAACTACAAGTAGCATCTTTTAAATACTTTGATCTGGAAAATTTTGAAATCACCTCTGTATAAACTGAAAAAAAAAAATTTCTAGTTTTATTGAAATTTTGAAAAGCTACATTTGGCAATTACAGATTTCTTTACAAATACCCTAGATTTGAAATGCTGCTGTATAAAATGGTTTCATGGTCTGAATGTAATCTGTAGTATCTTTTCTTACACTATAACAAACTATATTATTCAATTAATAATTTGAATTAAGTAACAATGAAAGAAAGTAGAAATACTAGTTGATAACATAATTCCAGTTTTAAAAATAAAGGCCATTGTAGTATCAATTATGTTTGTGATTCTGAACCTATATTCTAAAGTCCATTACAAACACTATGTCAAACTTAAAAAGGAAAATATTTTCCTTTTATTTTCAATAATAAAATGAGCATTTAAATACAAGTATTAAATTAATTTACTTTTGCAAAAAAATTCACTTGTTTTAAAATATAATTAATAGTAATCTTAAGAAAGCCATTTTAATTTTAGAAAAAGTATTCTTGGAAAACAATTTTTTATTAAAAATATGTATATGAAAACAGATTATCAAACATTAAATAATTATATACTTACAAGAATTTTACTGAATATATGTAATAATGAATAAAAAAAAATTTTTAACTGTTCTATGTTACATTATAATAAATATTCTTTCTAACAATATCAATTAATAAATTAACACCACAGTAATTAATTTTTTTCAGCTTTTACATTTATAATTTTATCCTCAGTTGATGTAATTTTTAATGTTTACTTTCATAAATACACATTACATTCATAAATACAAAATCTCTACAAAAAAGAAAGAATTTTATCAAAATCCTAATTAGAAAAATCCTGATAAATGTAAAAATCCATCATATAACCATAAAGCACCACATAATCTACAATATATGCTTTGAGTGATTCAGATGAAATGAATACAAAAACTACAAAATTCAATAAAATGGCTTCAGCAGATTTAAGGGAAATAATTGTGTTACTGGAAATTTTAAATAATATATATATAGTGGTACCTTGGTATACGTCTGCTTTAGAATACATCCAATTCAGAATATGTCCTGTTTGGACGAAACAATTTTGCTCGGTATACGACTTTTGTTTGGTATATGACTTAATTCAATTATACATGCCATCTATGAACAAGTAGCACCATTGGTGTTAGGACCAGACTAGATGTTCATGGTGCCACGGTTTATAACTTTGTTAAATTTCTTCTGATTTTAATTTGTAAGTAAAATTTTATTATTTTTATTAATCACGAATTACAAAAAGGCAAATGAAAAGCAACAGAAAACTAAAAAAATGACTAGAATCACAATGGAACTGAAAAAAGAGATTGTTGAGAAATATGAAGGTGGCATGCATGTTCGAGATTTAACTGTTGCATACCGTATTCCAAGAATGATGCTATCGACAATCATGAAAAATAAAAACATTATTAAATTTGCTAACATTGCGAAAGGAGTTAAATCAATTTCTAAACAGAGATCGAAGACATTAGATCATGTTGAGAAATTGGTTAACTTTGGATAACTGAAAAACAGTGTGCTGGTGACAGCGTATCAGAAGCAATTATTTGTGAGAAAGCTAAAAAGATACATGCTGATCTCATGAAAAATCAAGCAGGAACTAGCCAGGAAAGCGAGGTGTTTAAAGCCAGCCATTTTTTTTTTTACATGAGAACGGATTAATCATTTTTACATTACTTCTTATGGGAAAGGTTAGTTTGGTATATGCCCTGTTCGGTATAAGTCACTAGGAACGGATTAAGGTTGTATACCGAGGTTCCACTGTATATATATATATAGGATGACTTATAAGTGTTTGATTTACCACCAATATATATATATTGGTGGTAAATCAAATACTTATAAGTCATCCAATATATAATACTCATATATCAACCAACATTAAACTGAAAGAGTAATTAATTCCAACATATATAAAAGTGAAAATAACTTTTGTTAGCAACATTAACTTCATATATTATATCCAGAAAGTTATCATTTATAAGATATTTTATTATGTATATTTATTTAAAATCATTGAATGTATTTAGTTATAACTAAACATTCAAAAAAAAAATATATATATATATATATATATATTGTTAAATAATGCAAAAAATTTCTGAATGTAAAAATAAAGATGCAGATAAAGAGACAAAAGAAAGTTAAAAATGGTACATCAAAAAAGAATTCAATTTTAATGAATCAAAAATTTTAAAAATTACTAAATTTTTGACAAAAACTAATAGTAACTGGTAGTAAATTTGGCAATATAAGTTAAATGGGTATACTAAAAGTATATATGTGAATACTTTTAGTATACCTTTTATGTGAAAAATACTGTATACAATTAGTTATAACTAAATGATATACCAGTAATTATTTTCTATTTATCTTGTTTAAACATATGCCAAAATTTATAAAATAAAACAAGTTTTTAGACAAACAAATCCAATAATAAAAAATAAATAAATAAAAGCATAAAAGTTGTGTGTTTGTGTAATACTTTAATGAATATACACTATAGTAAAATAAATAAAACATTACAAAATAAAATAATATAGATATGTAATACTTTAAAAAATTTAATAGTAAGTTTTAGAATATTTTATTATTTTTTTACACTAGAATACAATACTGAATTTTATCTTTCTCTGAATTTCAAGTTTTTTCAAATTAGCCTTAAAAACTGAAATTAAAATTAAATTATTATTATTATTATTAACAATTTTTCCCAAATAATTGATACTTTAATATTTAAATTATTTAAAACAATGCTAAAAAACAAAAAATACTTGCCTCATAACATCATAAGTATCTATAAGTGCTAAGAAGCTATCAGGAAAAGCAATAGCATATGATACAAATGCTGCTAATTCTCCTGCACTAGCTTCATCACATAATACTTTCAGAAATCTTGACAATTCTTGCTGATGCTGAATACATAAATCAACAAAGTTTTCCTCTTCACCTGTTGATCGATTACGTAACATCTGCACAAATTTATAGGAATAAAATTATCAAGAAATTAAAATATATTTTAAAACTCAAAACTTTAATGTAAAGATATTTCAATTAAATTTTTTAAATAGTAGGAAGAAAATAATTTACAAAATATTGTTAAAACCTTTTAAAAATTGTTTTATCAATGTTTTTCAATTCTAATATATCAGTCAACTATAAAAAATGATCATATTTGTGACAGAATAGTTCATTAATGATGAAGCAGTAGACTGTCTGATGGCCAAGGTGGCTACAGCATCAGCCAAACATTCTGGGGACACAGGATCAAATCTTTTAATATTTGTAATAAACAGAGGGAGTGCAAAAGTAGGTATACAGTTGAGAATCTGAGAAATACAAATTTTTGGTGATCATTATTCCTATGTTTAATATCTTTTATTAGTTCATATTTCCTTATTTGTGATTTTAATTTGTACATAAAAATAAATGTTTTTTTCTTCCTATTTTCTCCTTGTATATTTTTTTCCGTAATAACAACTGTATATCTACTTTTGCACCCCCTGTATATTACACACACACACACAAATATTTCAATGTGTATATTGTATTATTTGAAAATAACTATTTTAAGTAAAATAAGAAAACTGAAATTCTTATATATCATTGTGTCTTTAAAGATAAATTTTTATTTTTTTAACAGGTTTTAAAAAAATCACACACATCAAATACACATACAGTGTAATTATTACATTTTGAAAATGCAAGAAAAACTTCAATATTGAAATTTAAGATTATCATTGAATTGTTTAAGGACATTTAATAATTATATTGAAATTATAATTTTCTAAGAATTATACTATAATTTAAAAATATATCAATTTACCTTAATTTTACATTCATCAGTTGAATTGTAGGACATCACAAATGCATGAGCATGAGTGCCACTGACAGGGATATTATATAATTTGCCAGCTAAAACATTACTTGTACCATCAAATCCTTTAAAAATATTAAATAAATTGTTAGAAATATAGCTTTAATCAAATCACAATAATTTTAGATTTCAATTTTTAATAAATTACCTCCAATGTATGCATACTTGGAAGCTGAAAGACCACCATCTGGTCCCTGAGCTCTTCTCAATCCAAATTCTAATAATTTAATATTTGGTCCAGCTGCTATGCGATACCTTGCAGCATTAGTTGCTACAAGACTTAAAGAAAGTATTAATTAATACATAAACTAAAATATTTGATATTTAACTGACTTGAAATTTCTAACAATCTGTATCTTATATGACAAAGTAGTAACATTTACCTGGCATAATTAACCAGTGTAAGAAGTGTTGTTTCTAACAGTTGCACAACAGGAAGTGGACCTTCAATTCTTATTAGTGGCACACGTGGAAATACTACTGAACCTTCTGGAAGAGCATATAATGTTACATCTTTTGCAGTTAAATTTGAAAGAAAAATGAAAAATTCTTCCTCAACTGATGGCAATGTCTTCTTTAAGTATAAAATATCTATAAATAGAAAATTTTAGGCTAATTCTTACATTAAAAATCAATATTTCTTTTTTATTTATTAAAAAATGAGATCAAAACATGATTATTAAACATAATAATAACAACTCTCTCGCCAGTCACCACCTTGCTGTGGTGAGAACTCAGTATTTCTGATGAACGATGAAGCTATGTCAGCTGGAGAATCTGCCCCTGGTAAGATAAGGTCACCCATGCCAGTGAGGTCTATGGGGAGAAATGAAGCCAAGAGTGACTGAACCCACATCTGTGGAGATCTAATCCCAGTAATAACACAATCCAAATGTAATAAGGTTCGGATGTTGTCTGGATTAACAAAGTACATGCTCATGAATTAGGCAGAGGCTCACATTTGAAAAATACATTACAGTCTCCCTTGGCCATCAGTGGTGAAAGCAGCACTGGTCCAAGTATGGCTACTGCAATGCACACGCCAGTTGTGAGAAACTGGTCAAACACTGATGCTTCTGAGGCAATCCAGCCACAGACCACTAAGGCAGGTAACCAAGCCAATGGATGAAATGGACCTCAGAAATAAATGAATTTATCATCCATACTTACTTCATCATAAAACTCAAAACAGACATGAAAGCATACAGACAACAGTTACATAAACCACAGATAAAACAATTCATCATGATAGACTTGACATTACTCTCATTGACAAAAGCAGTAAAATTGCTTATATAATAGGCATCTCTGCTCCAAATACTCATAACATAAAAATACTCACACTGAAAAAATTAACAAGTACACTCCACTCACTCAAGATAAGACAATTTGGAGGATGGATAAGGTATTTATTGTACCTGTTATCCTCTCTTCCACTGGTGTTATTCCATGTACTCTACACAAAAGTCTAGAAACATTAAACCTTAATAAAAATGCATACATGGCTCTACAGAAAGCTACAATATTGAACACGTCACATTGTTAGAAGTTTCTAGATGTTGACACATGTACCAATTGTAGCTATACATATACTAATATGTTACATATTCTTAATGTAACACTTGTTTAGGTAGCTATGCCTTAACTTTAAACCTATATAGCACTTGGAACAAATATCAGCTGAGCTTGATATTTGCATAATAATAATAATAATAATGAAAAGAACATTAAGAAATTGTGGAAATTCTTTTGTGAAACAATCTATTTACAACTAATATATATAATATATTATGCCAAGACATAATTAAAACATGTTGTACAATATTTTCTCTCAAGTATTCTAATGCAAGACATGTTTAGGTTTTAATCTACATTAAAAATTAACAGATATACCAATCTAATTCAATATGGTAATTATATTAAATTTAAGCTTACAAATAATACNGGTTGGTACTCTGTAAAGCACTTGTGCAAATATAATCTGGTATAATGTGTATAATCTGGCTGCTTTATACCATTCAAATATTTTCACCATGAAAGCTGTCCCATATTCGACAATACACTGCTTCCATTGGGAATATGCATATACTGTACAAATTTATATTCAAATATACAATAGCAATCTTATCATTTTTTTACATGTAGTATAGAAATTTGTAATAAGATACATAATGAGGTTATAACAAAATATTAATTTTAAGTAATTCATAGTATGTTAAAATATGAAAACAATTGTACAATACATATTTATATTTTAGAAAATACAAGGGAAGTGGCACTTCCACAGCTTCCATGGATGGTACGTCACTGTGTCATACACAACAATGTAGTATTTCATAGTTTCACTCACTGATTCGAAATGTACACATTCATGTACATGTAATTTTTACTGAGTATAAAATATTCTAAATATTTATAAAAAAATTACTTTACATAGCCTACCTAAATAAGATATTAAGATAAAAAAATTTTTACTTTTTGTAAATAAAAAATTCATAAGCAAAACGGTTAAAATTAACATGTTAAACTTTTAGTTTGCAATTAACAGTTAAAGAAAAATCTCAGCACTAAGCACATTATTCATTACATACTTTAAAGCTCTGTTAAACATAAATTTTTGAGCCATTATAGTACAATTTAATACATTCAGATGATTAAAAAAAAATCTGTTTACATTCTAATTGTAGATAGAATATAAGTTACTTGAATATTGCAATTTCATTTGATTCCAATATTTTAAATTATAATTCCAAATTATAAAATATGTTTTTTATTTAAAGACTGTATGAATTTTGAAATTCTATTGCTATTCTTAATAAACATTAAATCAATAATAGAATAAAAAGAAAACATCTTATTTAAAGATTATCAATTCTCCATTTATTTTTTAAGCTTTTCTTTAGAAGTATATAAAACAAGTTATTTTATGCAAAAATAAATGCAATATTCAAATACAGTATATTAATTCTTATTATCATTCCTATTTCAGATGAACATTAACAGTAATCAAATCACACACAAACATCATAAAAATGTTACAAAAATAACATTTAATAAACAAATGTTTTTAACTTTCAACTGTCTTAAACAGCCATCTTCGGTTTAACCTGAAGATGACTGTTTACAAAGATCAAAAACATTTGTTGTTTATTAAAGGTTATTTTTGCTGGATTTTCATAGTGTTGGGGTGTGATGTGATAACTACATCCAATATTTCAAGGGTTTATTTTCATTAACAGTAATAAAATAGCTAACATTACCAACAACTAATTTTTTTTTTATAATATAACATATGAACTTGTGATATCTGGAATACAAACAGATGAGCTTTTAATTAAAAAATAATTTAAAATTTTATTTTACNTATAGGGCTCTCCAGGAGATTATTTATATAACCTGATGACTTCATTTCAATACTAGAAAATCTGAATGATGGAATAAGTGATATCTATTCTGATAAGATAAATCATTGGTTCCTACATTGACCAAAAGATTACATCTAGATGTACCATGAAAAGATGCAGTAAAAGAATTGTAGAAAACATAAAAGATATAATGTTCAACTGTATTTGAGCAATGATCAAAACTATTTTAAAGATTTCCATGTACACTAAATAAATGATTGCTATTGTATTTGCAAAAAATGTTAAATTTTTATTGAAAAAAAAATATATGGTTTTGATGAGATACAAAAACTAGCACCACATTTGTGAATTTATTATTCACATTTAAATTTGATGAAATCAACATGACAAACAAATATTTTAAGTATTTGATTAATATTATATTTGATTAGTATTATATATGAAATACTTGACTCATGCCATACCAGTGTGGTGAAATTTGGTGACAGGAAAGCTGTGCCGGCCCTAGATAGAATCATTGGAAACGTTATATGATATTTTGGTGTGTAGCATCCATGAGCTAAACTGCGTGAGGTTGGTACTCTGTAAAGCACTTGTGCAAATATAATCTGGTATAATGTGTATAATCTGGCTGCTTTATACCATTCAAATATTTTCACCATGAAAGCTGTCCCATATTCGACAATACACTGCTTCCATTGGGAATATGCATATACTGTACAAATTTATATTCAAATATACAATAGCAATCTTATCATTTTTTTACATGTAGTATAGAAATTTGTAATAAGATACATAATGAGGTTATAACAAAATATTAATTTTAAGTAATTCATAGTATGTTAAAATATGAAAACAATTGTACAATACATATTTATATTTTAGAAAATACAAGGGAAGTGGCACTTCCACAGCTTCCATGGATGGTACGTCACTGTGTCATACACAACAATGTAGTATTTCATAGTTTCACTCAATAATTATATCTAAAATAATGTGTCTTTATCTTTTATTTTTATCATAATTTTCTATGGATGACAAAATAAAACTATGTTATTAATTGATAATTTGTTCTAGTGGGTCGTGTTTGTTCAGTTTGTTCATGTACTGAGCAATTTTTTTCCAGACTTTATACTCGTATACCAAATCATTCCAGTTGGAACAGTTCAAGTAACGAGATACCACTGTATTTCATTCATCATTTTTACAAACAGTTACTTAACTATGGTTTAAAAACAGTTTAACAACACTTACCTAAACATGTTTAATTAAATAAACTTTACTAAATGCAAAGATTAATCTATAAAAAGAAAACACAGTGACAGTCTTAAGAACTAAAGCCTGAAAGCAACAACACATGGTTGATAGGAAAGCTAGGGCAACGAAGAAAAAATTCTATCAGTTTTCATTAAAGTAAACCTGACAAAAAGTATAAAGCAAATTGGAAATTTCGACATTCTAAAATCCATGGGCAAATTTCAGGTAACATGCATACTTACTTAAATTTTAGAAAATATCAAATAACAATGTTTACACTTAAAAATTGTGAAATTTTGTATGGAGGATTTCCAAAACTGTGTTAGAGTGAAACCAGAAGTCGTGTTGTACAGGGGGAATATTCCCAATTTTCAAACTGTGTTGTACAAGTTGTGTTTTTTACAAAGGATACCTGTATTTTAATTTTAGGATTAGTAGGATATTTTTTCAAATCTGCTGTTTATAGTATATCTAGTAAGTATGATTTTTTTCATGTATATTCTATCAATAAATATCTAAAGTTTCATTTTTAAATTGAGGTTAACTCCCAAGGATATTTTAGTCATTTCTTGAAAAGTCAGATGATCTTAAAGATACTTGTACATTGATGATGTGTGTACAACTTTTCATTCGTTATGCTGTCCTTGGATAAGATGGATAAAATAATTTGATTATACACAAATAATTGTGAGTTTGGTGTACAGATACTGTGATTATTTTTTTAAAATAGAAAACAAGAAACATCACTTATACCACTATAGCTTCCTTGTTCTTATTACAATTTTTTGTGTTAATACACAATTAAATTTTTAGTGCTTTTCACACTGACTCATGTGACAAGAGGAGTTTATTACTTAATCATATACACCTATATACGTGTACTGTACACTATATTACCAATCTAAAATGCATTTCAGATTTTGTAATGGCCTCTCTTCAGTTAGACATTTTTGGTAATTTAAACATTAGGTGTATAACAATCTATTAAAATTAGAACATATATATAAAAAGGGCAGTTGAGAATTAAAAACAAAAACTGTAAAAACATACAATGTTTTTACAATTTTTAGCAAACATAATAAGGAGAAAACACTCCATTATTTGACTCATTTTGGTGATAGGCACTACATATGTTCTTTTTGGTTGTGGATTATGTGTGGTTGCTCTATATGTTCCCCATGCACCTACAATATGTAGTCTAGTTTTCCATGCTTGGAAAACCTACTTGTACTTATCAGGGGAAATTCTATTCCATATGTGCTTTGCAGCTTTCCATACACCCTCCATTAAGGTCTTTACTCTAACAGTTGCTTCTTCAAGTAGCCAAACCCAGAAAAAGCCAAGGGACTTGTTCTAGGGGACTTGACTGAAATTTCTTTGTTGGTAATAAATGTAATCCCAAATTTCTTATGAATTTATTAGAAATACTTCTGTGTTAATATTAAGATATGGGAGGAGGCTTTGTCATAATGGAAAAACATTTTGTT